ACTTATTTAATATTATTTATTATTATTATTCCCATGGCTGTTTGCAATTCTGGGGCGAAACTTGCACGGCCTGACCACCGCCTCTTACTTATTTAATATTATTTAATATTATTCCCTCCTTCTTGGACCACGTCCAAATCTTGGCAGCTGGAATTGTGTTTGCTTGTGGAATTTAGAGATATAGTCCTTTTGGGTCTGGAATTGTTGTTACTGTTGTTGTTGTTTGCCTTCAAGTTGTTTCCAGCTTATGGCGACGCTAAGGTGACCTGATGATGGGGTTTGCTTGGCAAGTTTCTTCAGAGGAGGCTTGCCATGGCCATCCTCTAAGGCTGAGATAGTGTGACTTGCCCAAGGTCACCCAGTGGATTGTCATGGCCAAGCTAGGAACTGAACCCAGGTCTCCAGAGTCACAGCCCAGTTAGAGGTGCTGCAAGATCAGGGTGACCAAACATCCTCCTTTTCCAGAACATGTCCTCCATTTCCACCTTCTCTCCAGGAGGAATTCCAAAATGACGTCCATTTTCAGCAAGACTAAGAAGCATGAATTTACATTTCTATGAGTGTGTCGGGTGGGTTTTTGGTTTTTATTTTGCAACAGCCTACTTTTCTTGTTGGCATGATTGCCCTACATTTTGACACGCCTTGTCCTCCTTTGGGGTTAGGAGGAGATCTGTTGCACCCCGTACAAAGATCCCTTTGCGTATTGTGTTGGTTTGCGTGGCCGCTGTTGACTCTGTGGTTAATAGATAATGTGCATGAACATGGCATGCATGGAGTCCGGTCAACATTGAGTTTCCTGCCAGGGATGGAAAGTAACTTCTCCTGAGGCCGCTTCAGGCCACACCATTTGGAAACTCCTCCGGTGGCATTAAATTGGGCATGTCACGGGTCTGCAAACTCAGTATGCAAAGGGATCTTGTGCCGGAGCATGATCCCCTTAGATGCTTCCTCTACTTTTGTTTTGGATTAATGCCTCTGAATAGGATCTGGATTCAGGTGCGGGGTCTGTATTCAAGATTCTTCCACTCTGGACTCAGGAAGAGTCTGGCTTCATATCTCCAAAACTCTTTTGCTCTCAGTTCAGGGAGAATCTGGATTCACTTCTTGGAAAGTCTGGACTGCAAGGCTTCTAAATGGAGTAGTTTTCAAATAAATAGCTCTCTTAAAGGCTCGTTCCCACTTACATTTAAACTGGTTTGCGATTCGCCTTCGCTCCGTGTTGGTCAGTCGGTTCCAAAAGGTCCGTTGTTCCCACTATGAAAGCGGACCTTTTCATTATTCCCTTGTAATCGCTTCTTTTTTGGCAGGCACGACTGCCGTTCCCACTAGTTTGCGCTGCTTCGAAATGCATGTCAATCATCTGCGCGTCGTCGGTGACGCAAGCGGAAACACGGGGAGGACGGGGACCGTTTGAGGCGCCAAGGTGGGGCACTTTTAGCAACTGAGCCTTCCTCTGCTCCTCACCATTTCCCCTTTGAGCAGCCCGGCTTGGGAACTCTATATTTTATATATAATATTATTTTATATTTTATATATATCTTAAAAAATTGACAGGATATGCGATCCATTGGTCTTGCAACTACTTGCTTTGCTGAGCTGCAGTCCGC